GGGGGTGTGGGACCAAGTCCGAGGCACCTGCTCCCCCCACCTCTGTCCGCTGTGGCCAATTGGTGGCCTGGACTTGGAGTTCCTAGCGGGAGGGACCAGCCCACCCAGTGGCCCCAGGACTCTGCACACTGTGGGCTTCCAGAAATGCTTATCAAACAAATGCCAGGGGCTGCAGGCCCAGGGCCAGGCGAGGCCTGAGGGGAGCTGCTGAGCAGCCAGGTCCAGACCCAGCGTGGCCCAGCCATACCCGGTTCCTGACCCTCCGGCCGCAGCCCAGGGGCTGCCCCGAGAATAGAGCTGGCCCACCCCTAGTTCTGCTCTGCTTCTTGGTTTTAGGAGGGGCGTGGGAGTGGATGGAGCGTGCAGAGAGTGCAGCGGCTGTGAGTGGGCACCAGCAAGTGCTGCCACTGACACAGGCCAGCTGGTGCCAGCGCGGCTCGGAAGAGGCCACAATGGGCAGTGACGGCTGGCCCCCACGGAGACGGTGGAGCAGCCTGGGGGTGCAGGACAAAGGACTGGGCGAGGGCAGCCTTGGAGCAACGCTGGTTGCCCCCAGGCCCCAGCAGGGCACAAGGTGGGTGTGTGCCAGGGAGGATTTCCCCTCCCAAATCCCCAGAGCTGCTGAAATCAGCCCAGTGCCCAGTGTGTGCACTCCTGCCAAAAGGGAGCCCGGGCTTTCAATCAGGTGGGGGGCAGGGGCAGAGAGGGCCTTGGTGGTACTGGCGCAGTTCCAGAGTGGACAGAAAAGAGTCAGGGAGAAGGCTGAGACATTTAATAAGAAGGTGTCTCTCCCCTCACTGTGCAGAAGATCCCCCCCAGCCCCAGGTGGCAGGGTCCTGATCTGAGGCTGGGGCTCTTGACGGGCAGGGGGGTTGTCTCTCGGGGCACTGACTTCTCAGCACTGAAGCTGCGCGCCGGCCTCACCTCCTCACTTCTGCAGCAGAGATGAGACTCAGCCCCTGGCCATGGCCCCCCTCCGCGCCTCCACGCTTGCCCCACTGCGCACTCACCATCCAGGACGTGGAACTGGTCTGCAGCCTCGCAGAAGCCTGGGGGCCCAAGGCAGGGGTCAGGTTGGACATCAGCCCAGAAAGAGGGGGTGGCTGAGGCAGGGAGCTGCTGGGGACACTCACCATAGTTGGGGAAAAAGAAGATCTGGTCCTCAGTCAGGTGGGCCTCCCGGACCCGCTGCTCAAACCCACTCAGAACGGAGTCGCTCACAGGGAGGGAGCGGGCTGCAGGGCAGAGAGGGCTCCTGGGGTCCCGGCACCAGGCCGCTTGGAGGGCTCTGGGATGCGGTCTGTGTGTCCCCTGCCCCCACACTGGGCCTGTCTGTCACTGCTCCTCCCTGGGCCCCTGCTCAGCAGGGGGGTCAGGATGGGAGGCAGGGAGGGAGGGCATGTCACCCTGGGCTCACCCAGCCCCCCAGGACGGCCCAGTGAGTGTGCAGAGCTCGAGTGCCTGTCCGGTCACAGAGGCCGGGCCCTCCATACCGTACAGCTTCACCGACAGCTGCCCTGCCCGCTCCAGGTAGAGAACAGCGAAACTCTGGTAGTCAGTCTCAGCAACAACCACGTGCACGGCCCCTCGGGCGCCTCGGGCTGGGCAGAGCCAAGGCAGCCACATCAGAGAGCCACAGAGGCTGCGTCACCGCCACCCACAGGCCCTGCGGCCCTTGCCTCACCTTGAAGCAGGAAGCGGCCAGGGACCTTTGTGTTTCCGTAGAGCTGGCGCACCTGCCAGCAGATCCCATCCCTGGGGGAAGGCACCACAGGCTGGGGGACCCCAATGGGGAACTCCAGTCCTGGCAGAGCCCAGGTGGGGTCAGGGGCCAGGGCAGGGTTGATGTCCGGGGCAGAGAGGAGAGTGGGGGCTCGGGTGCAGGGCCACTCTGGGACTTACAGCTTTCGGAAGGTGCTGACAGCCATGGCTGCACCCTGGGGAGCCACATGCAGTGTGGTGGCCTCAGCCCGGTGGTTCTGCTCCTGCAGGAATCGGCAGGCGGAGCCCACAGCCACAAGGAGCCAGGTGCCTGCAAACTGGGGGCAGCCCACGGGAGGACTCGCGGGCACTGTGCGAGTGCCCCCTCCCCTGCCTCCCTCCACCCCCAACAGCTTCTACCTGCTGAGCATCAAAATTGGCCTTGGGCTGGATGGTGCTGATGGGGGATGGGCGCTGGGGAGGCCTCCGAGGCCTCTGGCCCAGTGAGCCGGCGGCCAGGAGCAGAGTCAAGAGGATTGCAGTCCCAGGGGGCAGCATGGTGGCGGTGGCGGGGTGGCAAGACTGTGGGAGGCCAAGGGCAGCACCACCAAGTCCCAGGCCAGAGTCTACTGTGCAGTCACGGAGCCCAGCCCAGAAAGTCCATGTCTGTCCCTTGCCTCTCCAACCCCTGCCCTGGGCCAGCCCCACACCCCACCCCCAACCTTCTCGTGAGCCCAGCTTCGATCTGCACTTCCCGGCAGGGCCCTGGCATCATGTCCTATGTACAAAGTCCAAGGTGACCTCTGGCTGTTTATCCACTTTCCCCTGCACCCCTGACTTCCACTGACAGTCAGTCCTTAGCCGTTTGCACATTATCTTCCTTAAACCATCACCCAGTGGTCTTAGCTCCACGGCCAACGTCACGGGGTCCATGAAGACACTTGCTCAGGGTCTGGCGATGGGAAACGCCGGAAGCGGGTCCCGAACCACGGGCCGTGGCGCCTTGCCCGCAGTCCCATCCACGACCGCCGCCCCAAGGGGCGCTGTTTCCAAAGAGGCCGAGTGCGCGCAGGCGCACAAAGAAGCGCCGGCCGGGCCGCCGGGGCCCGAGACGCAGGCGCACGAGGGGCGGACGCGGGCTGCCCGCGCGCGCGGCCTTCCGCCGCCATCGATGCCTCGGGGCTCGTGGCGTCGGGCCTGGCAGGCTCCCTGCGCGGCGGCGGCGGCGGAGGCGGAAGCGGGTCGGGGCGGCGCGGGGCGGGGGCGGCGCAGCGGGCGGAGGCGGCCGCGGTGAGTGCGCCTGCGGCCCTCGGGGTCCGGCCTCGGCGGCCCCGCCCGCCCCGGGCGAGTGCAGGAGCCCGGGGCCGCCCGTGCGCGCGTCCCCGCCGGGCAGGGCTTCCCCAGGGCCGCGGGGCGGGGGCCACGGCCCGGCCGCCCGAGCCTGTGCCCGGCGGAGCGCGTCCCGGGGCGGCGCCCGGTGCCCCGGTGCCTCGCGCGTGTCTGTCCCGAGGGGCGCCCGCCGCCGCGGCCGGGGATGGCGCGGGGCCCGGGCGCTCCCCGCACACACGCAGCCCCGCGGAGTCCCCGGCGCCCGCGCCCGGCCTCCCTGCCCGGGCCTGGGCTGAGCGCGGCCGTTGGTGGTTTCAGGGCCGCCCGGGCAGAATGTCACGATGGACGAGGGCGGCGCGCCCCTGCTCCCCGACAGCCTCGTCTACCAGATCTTCCTGAGCCTGGGCCCGGCCGACGTGCTGGCCGCGGGGCTGGTGTGCCGCCAGTGGCTCGCCGTGTCGCGGGACGAGTTCCTGTGGAGGGAGCAGTTCTACCGCTTCTACCAGGTGGCCCGCGACGTGCCCCGACACCCAGGTCCGTGGCGTTCGGCAGCCCAGGCCCCGGGCCCCTGCGCTTGGGGGTCAGCCTGGCGGGGGCCTGGCCCGCGCCCCGAGTGTCCATCCCCACAGCCTCACCGTGACCCAGGCCTGTCCGCACACAGCACAGGGCCCCTCACAGCCTGGAGGCCCAAGGCTTCACGGGTCACTTGCAGGGCTGGGGATACGGGGGTCTCTGTGAGCGACGGGGTTGTACCCCCCAGCCGAGGCCTATGCCAGGACTGCTGGGTTCCCGGGGCACCGCTGGCGTCTGCCCCCAGGACCCCTGCCCCCTAGGACCCTTGCCCACTAGGATCCCTGCCCCCTAGGATTCCTGCCCCCTGGGACCCCTGCCCCCTGGGACCCCTGCCCCCTAGGATCCCTGCCGAGCCTCCCGCAAGCTCCAAGGACTGCAGCCAGGAGTACGGGGGCCACATTCAGCTTGTGGCCTTGTCTGCGAGGAGGGAGGCCTGGGCCACGGGCTGACACTGCCCACCCACAGCGGCCACGTCCTGGTTGGAGGAGTTCCAGAGGCTGTATGACACCGTGCCCTGTGTGGAGGTGCAGACGCTGCGGGAGCACACAGACCAGGTCCTGCACCTCAGCTTCTCACACTCGGGCTACCAGTTCGCGTCCTGCTCGAAGGACTGCACTGTGAAGGTGAGGACGGCCTGGCATCCCCCCACCCCGCCCCTCCACTGCAGCACCCAGGTCCTAGGACCCCGGCGTCCCAACCAGGTGGGATGGGAGGGTCAGGCCAGAGGTGACACAGCTGCCTCCTTCCAACCAGCGGAGCGGCCCGGCCGAGAGGACCGTCAGCCGGGGCCACAGAGGGTCAGGAGCGGTGCAGGGTGGCCCTGAGTGCCCAGAGGAGAGGGCCTCGCACACAGCCTCCCGCTGCGGGGCAAGCTCCTGCTGTTTGTGCCAGCACCCCAGGGCAGATGCCAGTGGCTGCGAGGGATCCCTGCCCCCTGGTGGCCTCTGAGCAGGGCCGACAGAGTCGGGCCTCACGGCACTGTGGTGGCGGGCCCCTGCCCCAGGACCCGGCCAGGCGGTCACCACGGCCACCCTGCCGTGCAGATCTGGAGCAACGACCTGACTATCTCGCTGCTGCACAGCGCGGACATGCGGCCGTACAACTGGAGCTACACGCAGTTCTCGCAGTTCAACCAGGACGACTCGCTGCTGCTCGCCTCGGGGGTGTTCCTGGGGCCGCACAACTCGTCCTCCGGCGAGATCGCGGTCATCAGCCTACGTGAGCACCGCCCCGCCCCCGGCCCCGGCCCCGGCTCCGGCCCCCGGCCCGGGCCCCCGCCCCCCGCCCCGGCCCCCGCCCCCGGCCCCCGCCCCCGGCCCCCGCCCCCGGCCCAGCCCCGCCCCCGCCGACAGCTAGTCCGGCCCGGCCTCCCCGCAGACTCCTTCGTGCTGCTGTCCCGCGTGCGGAATAAGCCCTACGACGTGTTTGGCTGCTGGCTGACGGAGACCAGCCTCATCTCGGGGAACCTGCACCGCATCGGAGACATCACCTCCTGCTCCGTCCTGTGGCTCAACAACGCCTTCCAGGTGTGGGCGCGGGGCTGGGGGCGGGACTGCCCTCCCCAGGGCCTGGGCCCACCTGGCGTTTGCCCCGCCCCCAGGACGTGGAGTCAGAGAACGTCAACGTGGTGAAGCGGCTGTTCAAGATCCAGAACCTCAATGCCAGCACCATCCGTACCGTGATGGTGGCCGACTGCAGCCGCTTCGACAGCCCTGACCTCCTGCTGGACGCTGGCGACCCGGGCACACCCCCCTGCCGCGTCTTTGACCTGGGCAGCGACAACGAGAAGGAGGTGGCCAGCCCGGCCCCCGCCCACGCCAGGGAGGGCTTGCGGCACTTTCTGGACAGCGTGCTGGAGGGGCGCGCGCAGCCACAGCTGTCGGACTGCGTGCTGGAGACCAAGGTGGCCGAGCTGCTGGCCCAGGGCCACACCAAGCCCCCTGAGCGCAGCGCCACAGGCACCAGGAGCAAGTACCTCATCTTCACCACCGGCTGCCTCACCTACTCCCCACACCAGATCGGTACAGCCCTGCCCCAGCCCCGCCTCAGTCCTCAGAGCTTGGGGGAGGCTGGGCAGGGGTCTTGGGGGCAAACGGCAGGCAAGTCCACAGGCAGAGCTGGGATCATTCTCACCCCTAGGGCCGAAAGCCCAGACTCGGTCTTGTTCTCCGAGGTCTGTGGAGTGAGCATTAAAAACAGATGCAGACGGGCTGCTGGCCGACTGATGGGCTCGATTCAGGTCTGGGCCCTCGCAGCAGGCGGTGCCCGCACTCCTCTGAGGCACTCACAGGCCCGGAGGCCCCGTTGGGCTGGGGGCTGCCCTGGAGTGCTGTCTCCAGGCACTGGCAGGGACCCTCACCACAGCCCTCCCTGCAGGCATCAAGCAGATCCTGCCACACCAGATGACCACGGCAGGGCCGGTGCTGGGCGAGGGTCGGGGCTCCGACGCCTTCTTCGACGCGCTGGACCACGTCATAGACGTGCACGGCCACATCATTGGCATGGGCCTGTCCCCTGACAACAGGTGAGCTTCTTCCCAGGGTCCTGGGCAGGGTGTCCGCAGGCGGCCCATACCTGGCACAGTGCCCCTCGCCCAGGTACCTGTATGTGAACAGCCGCGCCTGGCCCAGCGGCGCGGTGGTGGCCGACCCCATGCAGCCGCCGCCGATCGCGGAGGAGATTGACCTGCTGGTGTTCGACCTGAAGACCATGCGGGAGGTGAGGCGGGCGCTGCGTGCGCACCGCGCCTACACGCCCAACGACGAGTGCTTCTTCATCTTCCTGGACGTCAGCAGGGACTTCGTGGCCAGGTACGGGCGCGGCGTGGCACGGGTGGGCGTGGGCGCCTGCTGGCGGCCGCTGGCTCATCAGGGCTGTTCTGCAGCGGGGCGGAGGACCGGCACGGCTACATCTGGGACCGCCACTACAACATCTGCCTCGCCAAGCTGCGGCACGACGACGTGGTCAACTCGGTGGCCTTCAGTCCCCAGGAGCAGGAGCTGCTGCTGACGGCCAGCGACGACGCCACCATCAAAGCCTGGCGCTCACCACGCACCGTGCGTGTCCTGCAGGCACCTCGCCGGCGGCCTCGCGCCTTCTTCTCCTGGCTTGCCAGCCAGAGACGCTGAGGGGTGCTGGCCGCGCTGGAGCCACCGGGACCCCTTGAGGATGTCACCCAGGCCCTGTGGCTCTTTTCTGAGCAGGAGAGGTGGAGACGCTTGTAGCAGTTACGCTTTAGGAAGGGGACAGTCAGGCCCCGACACGCTCTCACACGCAAACCCACTCACGCAGCTGTGATGCCTGGCATGGGATGGCAGGTGCAGACAGAGCCAAAGGCCCCCTCAGTCTCCCAGCCAGCTTGGGGTGCGCAGGACACTGGGGCGCCGCTCCTCACTCACCCCCGGGCTGGGGGTTCACCACTCCAGCTGGCCTCAGCCCAGGGCACCCTGGGCTGGTCCTGCAGGGCTCTGGACGCCTGGCTGTGGCCGTGCGCCTGGGGCTTGGGAGCTGCTGGTCACGCTGCTGTGGGCCGAGTGTGCCGCATGCCCATGCACCGCCCGCCCAGGGTTTTGAATAAACAGTTGGCAATAGCACTCCGCCGTCCGGTCTCTGCAGGGAGGGAGACTGCGGGCGGAGTGGGCCTCGTGGTCACTGCTGACAGGTGACATGTGCGTTTGAGGTCATGTGCTGGCACAAGACCGCGTCACACAGCCCAGTGCCCACTCCGTGACCTCCACGGAGGTGCCTGGCATTCCTGCAGGGGCTGGCAGCATGCAGGACCTCCTGGCCGGGTCCAGGGTCAGCAGGCCGAGTTGTTCCCAGTGCCACAGTGGCCTCTGCGGTTCGTCCTGTCCTTGAGGGAGCGCCCTGGCTACTGGGGGCAGGGAGGGTGTTGGGCAGAGCTCCTTGGAGTTCAGGTCGGCGAGGATGGGACCGGGGCCCAGATGTGGCACTGGAGGTGTGGGTCCAGCTGGACCCTGCAGGTTTTGTTGGAGCTGCAGCAGGAGCCCGGGGCCTAGGGCGATGGTGGTGAGGAGGATGGGGGGAGCCTGGCGCTCAGCACAGCAGCCATCACAGGCAGCATACGAAGCCTGTGGCTCTGCACACGGCAGTAGGCAGCTGGGTACGGAGAAAGGACGCAGAGGAGACAAGTGAGCATCGAGGTGACGGTCCCCCAGAGCCACACGGGCCACAGGGGCAGGCAGAGGGCCTGGGACGGGGCCTGAGCACCGACAGAGTCAGGGACAGCACGGCCAACACAGGCTGCGCCACCCAGAGGGACGGAGCCTCTGCCCCACTAACTCCCAGTCTCCAACTGGGAAGCCCCAGGGGCTACTGGAGTTCATAGTAAAACCCCAAACATGGGCAAGAACAAGGGAAGAAAGACGCACCAAAGACCCCAAAACAAGATGAGGTGCGCTGAGACTGAGACCTGAGGAAGCCTCTCTCAGAAAGGAGCCGACAGATTCCGCAAACACAAACACACCACGGGCAGGCTCCAGAGAAGTGAGCCGTTTCTCGAAAAGGACCTTGGCTATGTTTAACTCAAGGAAACTAACGATAACACCCCTAAAGCAAAAACTGCACCATGAAACAAAAGCAGGGGATAGAAATCAACAACACATGGACATTTAAAAGTAAAAAGGCCAGGTGTGGTGGCTGATGCCTGTAATTCCAGCACTTTGGGAGGCTGAGGAGGGTGGATCACGAGGTCAGGGGTTCGAGACCAGGCTGGCCTACGTGGCAAGATCCTGTCTCTATTAAAGATACAAAAAATTAGCTGGGCATGGTGGGAGGCACCTGTAATCCCAGCTAGTCAGAAGGCTGAGGCAGGAGAATCGCTGGAACTCAGGAGGTGGAGGTTGCAGGGAGCCGAGAACTTGCCGCTGCACTCCAGCCTGGGCGACAGGGCAGGGCTCTGTCTCAAAACACAAAACAGGAGGTCGGGTGTGGTGGCTCACGCCAGTAATCCCAACGCTTTGGGAGGCAGAGGCAGGCAGATTGCTTGAGCTCAGGAGTTCGAGACCAACCTGGGCAATATGGTAAAACTGTCTACTAAAATACGACAACAAAAAAACGTTAGCCAGGTGTGGTGGCAGGTACCTGTAGTCCCAGCCACTTGGGAGGCTGAGGCAGGAGAATCACTTGAACCTGGGAGGCGGAGGTGGCAGTGAGTCGGATTCTTGCCACTGCACTCCAGCCTGGGCGACAGTGCGAGACTCCATCTCCAAAATAAATAAAAAGGGAGCCAGTCAGGCATGGTGGAAAATAGCAGGTAGAGTGATTGCATCAAAGGCTTGGTATGTGAGAAGAATGGGACCACACAGACTTGACGCGGGAATCAGGAAGCAGAACGTGGCACAGAGGACACGAAAGAGTGAGCCCTGGGAAGGGAACAGGGAGGCACACATGACCCCACCCCCTACACACACACACACACACACACACACACGGGCGGGGGTGGAGACCCAGTGTTTAAAAAGAACATGGCTGAATTACAAAAAGACAAAAGTCTTCAGAACACACGTGTGCTGAATCTTGGCTGGGCACAATGGTCCACTCCTGTAATCCCAGCACTTTGGGAGGCCCCGGAGGGTGGATCACTTGAGGTCAGGAGTTCAAGACCAGCCTGGCCAACACGGTGAAACCCTGTTTCAAAAAAAAATGTTTTTTTAAGTTATATTCAAATGTCCAGAATATAACCCAAAATTACTAGACACATGAAGAACCATAAAATTTCAACACACAGCTGGGCACAGCGGCTCACACCCATAACCCTCCCCACTGGGAGGCCACAGCTGCAGGAGCACTGACTGGGCTGCTGTGTTCCAGCTTGGGCAATAGACTCTGCCTCTAAAATTAAAAATTCAATTTCCAAAGGAAAAGACAAATGCCAAGGCAGATTATATATATATAAAACATATGTATTTTTTTAATTTTTTGAGATGGAGTCTCACTCTGTTGTCCAGGCTGGAGTGCGGTCGTGTGATCTGGCTCACTGCAACCTCCGCCTCCTGGGCTCAAATGATTCTCCTGCCTCAGCCTCCTGAGTAGCTGAGATTACAGGTGCCCACCACCACGCCCAGCTAATTTTTGTATTTTTAGTAGAGAAGGGGTTTCACCATGCTGGCCAGGCTGGTCTCGATCTCCTGACCTTGTGATCCGCCCACTTTGGCCTCCCAAAGTGCTGTGATTACAGGCGTGAGCCACCGCACCCGGCAACAATTATTTTTTAATTTTTGTAGAAATGAGGTCTATGCTGCCCAGGCTGGTCTCAAACTCGTGGGGTCAGAGATCTTTCAGCCTTGGCCTCCCGAAGTGCTGGGATTACAGGAGTGAGCCACCACGCCCGGCCAACACAAATTTTAAAAGGCACTGGGCTTCCTCGGCTTCCAGATCATTGCTAGGCTAGAAAAATAAAGCTTGCTCTACCAGAAATCACAAGTTAGAACTGAGTGTTTTCCATGGCAGAAATTTTATAGAGTCTAGTGCCATTTCAGGCAAAGATGATTAAGCTCTGAACCTCAGCATCCACAGCTGCCTATCAGAAGTTAAATGAGCTCAGAGCAGGCCTACATAATTAGGCTTCATCAGATGAGGCCACTATGCTCTTCTAAGACGCGAATAAACCCAATGGGAAGTAATGAAATCAAAATGAAGGGCGTCTTTGAGGTAGTCGTCATGTTCCCCTTTTGTAACATTAATAAAGGGAATATTTTACTGCAAAGCGTATTCTGCATGCCACTCCCCAGGACTTCTTGTCAGCTACTACGAGTACTGCCTCGTGTTTGCGGTCATCCACGTGGCACAGCCATTTTGTGACTACTGTTCACTTCTGTGTTTACAAACAGAATCTTTGTGACTTACTGAGTGCATTAGTGAAGGTCTGACACTGAGATGCAGTCTGACACCCATGATAGCCAGTGTTTTGCAGACAGCAATGCAGGAGATATATTATATATATATATAAAATTTTATTATTATTATTTTTTTTTTTTTGAGACGGAGTTTTGCTCTTGTTACCCAGGCTGGAGTGCAATGGCGCGATCTTGGCTCACTGCAACTTCCGCTTCCTATGTTTAAGCAATTCTCCTGCCTCAGTGTCCCAAGTAGCTGGGACCACACGCACCTGACCCCACACCCGGCTAATGTTTGTATTTTTAGTGGACACGGGGTTTCACCATCTTGGCCAGGCTGGTCTCGAACACCTGACCTTGTGATCCACCTGCCACACCCTCCCAAAGTGCTGGGATTACAGGTGTGAGCCACTGTGCCCAGCCTGATACATTTTTAATCACTTGTCATTTAAGTGACCTTATGTAATAAATAAACCAATAATTCAGCAGTTCTGAGTCTCCCAATGGTTCCAGTGAGGCCTGTAAGATGCATCTTCCACCAGCACGTCCTGCTGTGAGGGCTGTTTATCCCCCTCCGACGCTTTCCTTTGCCTGCAAGAGGGGATCAGACAAGACGGATGCTTTGCTTGACTCCTCTATGTCCTGAGGTTTCCGGAGCTCTTTTTCTTTCCTCTGTGGTAAGTTTGGCGTCTCTGTTTGAGCTCTTCAGCTCTCTGTTGCAACCGTGGTTCTACTCCAGAGCTCTCGCTGGTATTTGACAGGTTCATTTCTACATCTTTCAGACTCTTGATCCACCGTGAGGACTTTACCAGCTGCTTTCCGGAATGCGTCAGTCCACCTGACCTTCAAGGGTTGTGTTTTTTAAAACAGTTTTTAATAACATTTGCACTCATGAACTCTGAACACCTTGCAGTCACTGTGGAGGAACTATGTCACGACCCGGACAGAAAATGACACTTCTCGACATGCAAGCCGGACCTGCAGGGCCCCACTGAGCAAACGCCAGGCTTGAGGGGAAGTGACACAGGCGCAGATGTTGGAATTATCTGACAAGGACTTTAAAGTAGCTACTATAAAAATGCTAGAACAAGCAATCACAAACATTTTGCAATGGATATAAAAATATGAAAGCCTCAGCAAAAAAAATAAAAGATGTAAAAAGGACCATTCATACCGAGATGAGGTTTCTATAAAAAGAGAGAAGGAAAAAGGCCGGGTGCCGTGGCTCACGCCTGTCATCCCAGCACTTTCGGAGGCCGAGGCGGGCAGATCACGTGAGGTCAGGAGTACAAGACCAGCCTGACCAACACGGGGAAACTCCATCTGTACTAAATATACAAAAGTTAGCTGGGCGTGGTGGCACGAGCCTATAATCCCAGCTACTGGGAAGGCTGAGGCAGGAGAATCACTTGAACCTGGGAGGCAGAGGTGGCAGTGAGCCGAGATCGCTCCACTGCACTCCAGCCTGGGTGACAGAGAGAGACTCTGTCTCAAAAAAATAAAGAAAGAAAAGAAAAAGAAAAAAAGCAAGCAAGAAAGAAAAGGGAGAGGGAGCTGGGAGAGGGAGAAGAAAGCAAAAATGTAGAGCTGAAGCCCACCATTGCATCAGCTTCCCAGGGCTGCCGTGACAAAGCAGCACGCGCTGGGGGCAACAGAGACTGACGCTTTCACACACGGTGCTGGAGGCCAGAAGTCAGAGATGGGGTGTGGGCAGGCTGTGCTCCCTCGGGAAGGGC